CGCCCGCGCGCCCCCCCCCAGCCAGCCTCTCCCCCCCATCCCTCTCTAGCTCTTGCCCTCCACAGCCAGCACCTCTGCCCCCCGGCACCCCCTTTACCTTCTCCCTCTTGAGGCTGCGTTGGGGGGAACGCCGTCGGCCCTCTGCCCGCTCTGGCTCCTTCTCCTTCTCCTTCCCCTTCCTGCCTTTCTCCTTCCCTTCGTTCTGGGGACTGTTCTGTAACACAGCAGCTGGGGCTCAGCGCGGCCTCAGACCATACAGCCAGGGGGGCAGGACCCCAGCAGCGCCCCCCACGCCCCCTGCACTCACCGATTTGTGCCTCTTCTTCTTGCTTTTCTTCTTCTGCTTCCGGGACTTGCGGGAGCTGAGATCTGCAGCAGAGGGAGCATCAGTCGGGCACTGTCCTGGCGCTCTCCAGGCGCACGGGGTCTGGCCATGCCCGGGTGCCAAGGGGCGGTGCCCGGGCCAAGTCTCCCCCCAGCAGCCCCAGCCCCAGTTCCCACCTGAGTCGGGCGAGGAGGAGAGCTCTGAGCCGGACTCCGAGTGATTCCGCTTCCTCCGCTTCTGGGCCCGCTGGTGGTGGGACTCCAGCTCCGACTCTGAGCCCTGGGGGCAGAGCTGGGGGTTAACACGGCCCCAGTCGGCCCCTCACCCCAGCAAGCCCCTCTGGGCAGGGCCTGACAGACCCACAGCCCTAAATCCCCTGCCCGCCCCCAGCTCCAATGGGCATCCGGCCAGCTCCTCCGTGGGGGCACAGCCCTGGCACCCCTCCCCTGGGCTGGCTCAGGGGGACCCCCGTGCACACGGGCCCTCGCCCAGCTCACCGACTGCGAGCGCTTCCGATGGTGTTTCCTGCCTCTCTTGGTGTGTTTCTTGGCTTTGGCGTGGTAGTGCTGGCACTCGTTCTGCGGGCACAGACCCACGGCCCGTCAGGCCTGGCGCAGCCCCGAGGGGCAGGGCTGCACAAGGCTCCGCGAGGCGGGAGCTGCCCTCTCCTCTGTGGGGGCCCCAGAGCCTCCCTCCCCCGCCCCGGGCACAGCCCCAGCCCTC